TGGGCTTCTCTACTCCCGGGGCGCGCGGAAGGGGAAGGTTTGGCGCTGAAGCGGAAACCCACGGGCTCGGGAGAACGGCCACCCCTCCGAGAAACCGCGAGTGGGCGAGGCCGGTCCAGTGGAGCAACAGCAGCGGCTTCCGGTTCCGATGACAGCGGCGCCGGAAGCCAGGGCCCGGGCTGTGGGGCGAGCTGAGAGTGGGCGGGTGCTGACCAAGGAGGCGCGGGCCGAGGGCGGGGCGCGCTGGGCGGCCGGAGGTGGGGAGCCGCTCGGCCGGGCGCCCAGGCCCCCGGCCTCCTCCAGGAAGGCCTCCTCCCCTACTAAGCCCCGGCATCAGTCTGCTTTTGGGCCTGTTCTCTTCCCAGTGGTCGGCCCCGGGCCGGGAGTTGATCTTTGAGACCGATAGACCGGGGCCCCGCTTCGAGGAGCTTTATCTGCCTGGGGAGTCACTCGGACTCAGACGTCGCATCTTAGTGTGACACGACTGAGTCGGAGGTAACACGGTGCGGGCTGGGGTCCAGGCAGGGCATCTGAGCAGAAATTTTTGAAGGGTGAGTAGGAGTTCGACGGTTATTTGCACGTTAATGCAGATGAAACTCCCAGTAGGGACTGCTATCCCGGGGAAATGGTAGGCTTTTTCCTTCAGTTTTGTTTAGTGAGAAAAGAAAGATGTGAAACTTCGTATAGGGATGTACAATAAAGAAAAGGGGACTCTATGATAGAGTGACTGTTGTGGGGCGGGGCGGACGGGGCCGCTTTAAACGGTGTGGTCTAGGAGAGCATCTCTGAAGAGATGACTTTCACATTGAGTCCCAAGTAAGAAGGAGCCAGCCATGGGAAGACCTGGGGGAAGTGTGTTCCAGAAAGAGGAAACAGCCAGTACAAAGGCTGTTAGACAGAAATAAACTTGATGTCACCAAGGACCAGAAAGGCTAGTGTGGCCAGAGTGGTGAGTGAGAGGGAGGGTGGTAGGAGATGAGGTTGGAGACTGGAGAGGTGGTTGGGGGTTGGCTCACATAGAACCTTGTGGACTGTAGAAAGGAACTTGGATTTTATTCTAAGTACAGTGGGAAGCTGTTGGGTTTTAATCAGAGGAGTAATGTGTATGGTGGAGAATGAATGGGGGTGAAGTGTGCAGAAGTGTAAGAATTGGGTCGGTGGATCCTGTCTAGTGCCGTGTTAGGCAAAGGCGACCTTCCTGTGATTTATACAAATTTCCCTTCTTCCTCCCACAGAAGGGGGCCCTCTTGTTTCAGGATGCTGAGGACTGGGAACGAAATCCCTATGCCTGTCTTGGTGGGGATTTTAATGTTTCACTCATGTCTCTTCTTCCCCAAGCCCACAGATTTGATCTCAGGCCCCCTAGCCCAAGTGTTAAGAAATGAATGTTAGCCATTTAATCAGCAAATGTTTACTGAGGCCCCACCAGAGGCCAGGCCCTGGGCTGGGCACTGAGGGGGAGGGAGAGGAATGAGTCTGGACTCCAGCCCTTGAGCTCACAGTCTACTGGGGGAGATAGGCATGTGAATAGACATTAGTGCACTGCAGTGGTAAGGATTCAGATGGGGGTGGTATGGGTGTCTTCAGCAGAGGTTCGCCAGAATGAATGAATGAAGCAGACAGGGAGGCAGATTTCATTGAGGGCTTCATGAGATGTCATTGAGAGCAGATGATTAAACTATATTTTGTATTTTCCATGCTGAGAAGTGCAGAGGGCACTCTGACACAGGAACGGATTGTGTAAAGGAGGCGAATGTACAGATGAGACACAAAGGGCTTGTGTATCAGGCTGTGGCAGGTTTTGAGCCTAGAGGTGACAGAATCTGATGGTTGTTTTAGAGGGATTGCTCTGGCGGATAATTTCTGTATATGTGAGACCTTGAGGAGGAGGGAACATGAAATTCCAGTCATCAACACTTGTATTAATCACAGAATTTCTTGTCAAATACATGCACACGCACACTCAGACATTCTTGTGCCTGGAGAAGATGACAGAGCATAATTCATGCAGAGCATAATTCATGGCTCAGTCTCCACAGACTGAATTAACCTCCTGGGCTTTTTGGATGGACTACCCCCAATCTGTCCTGTTTTCCCAGCTCACCTACTTAATTTTTAATTGAGTTAATCATACTCCTCAGTTCATGGCATGTTTAATCGACCCATGCAGGGCCTTTTTCTCCTTGGTGTTTACTTATGTACAGTATTGCCTTTTATCCCCTTTCCTCTTTTCTCCCCCCACCATAGAAAACCACACTGATGTGTTTGGTGTATTTCTTTTCATTTGCATGTGTCCTTGGTTGTATGCATACATTTTTAATTTAATTAAATGGTATTCTGCCTAGACTTCATTTTATTTCTTTTTTTTTTCCGCTCAGTACCAGGTATTGAGATCTTGTTGCTGTGGGTGTATCTAAATGATACACAGGTTTCCACAGGTACATTCCCCACGTTTATTTGACTTATAGATTCTCCTAGTGATGAGGCCCCTAGATTGTCTCCAACTCCCTGCCACAACAAACAGTGTGGTTGTTGTTAGCCCAGTCCGGTGCCATGCCCATGGTGGGTTGCAAATTGGACTTTTGTGATCCATAGGGTTTTCATTGGCTGATTTTCAGAAGTAGATCACTAGGCCTTTCTTCCTAGTCTGTCACAGTCTGGAAGCTCTGCTGAAACCTGTTCAGCATCTTAGCAACACACAAGCCTCCACTGACAGACAAGTGGTGGCTGCGCATGAGGTGCATTGGTGGGAATCGAGCCCAGATCTCCTACATGGATCATCTACCGCTGAACCACCACTGTCCCCCACAACAGACAGTGCTGGCATGAAAATCCTCATACATCTCCTTCCCTAGCTTATTTATACAATTTCAAGATGCTGACTTGGGCTTCCTTTGGTAATCTTAGCGTCAGCTGATGTCTGACAAGACCTGACTATGTTTGACTTTAGGGACCTTTCTCGAGCTGCATTTATTTCCTGGTAAATGGTGATTCTGATCCCCAGACACTCTTAGCAAACATTCTTTTGCCCTGCTATCTTCCCCAGTTGACCATTCTCACAGGGTTCATGGGTGGTTTCCTGTTTCTGGCCATCATTAATGGTTGCTGTACACTCATTCCAGTCACTGGTGACACAGTGACTGTTAAGCAGGTCCTGAGAGTACCTATGATGCTTAGCCTGCCCGCCCTCATTTCCCAGCTCCTCTACTTAACCAGCTGTATGCCCTTAAATAAGGAAACTTATTTAATCTTTCTGTGTCTCATTTCTTATCTATAAAGTGGCCCTAATAATTGCAACTGTAGTGTTTTTGTGAGAATTAAGTAAATGAGTTAATGCATGCAAAGTTGTTACAGCAGTGCCTGGCGCATAATACCAAAAACCTGTTGCTGTCGAGTCGATTCCGACTCATAACAATCCTATAGGACAGAGTAGAACTGCCCCATAGGGTTTCCAGAGAGTGGCTGGTGGATTCAAACTGCTGATCTTTTGGTTAGTGGCCAAGCTCTTAACCACTGAGCCACCAGGGCCCATAATAAGCACGTACTAAATGTTAAGTTAGGAATCTGCGAGTGGTGCAAATGGTTAAGCAATCGACTACTAGCCGAAAAGTTGGTGGTTTGAATCCACCCAGAGGTGCCTCGAAGACAGGCATGGTGATCTGCTTCTGAAAGATCACAGCCTTGAAAACCCCATGGAGCAGTTTTACTCTGCACACATGGGGTTGCCATGAGTGGGAATTGACTAGACAGCGATTAACAACAACAGTTAGCTATTGATAATAGAAATAACAATAATAATTATAATATTATTTCAGACAGGAGTCCCTGTTATATTTTGCTTATAATGACTTACATCCAGTCATAGGATATTTAACAGGGGGCAGGGAGGAGAGCATATCTTCTGGGCTGTATGATTGCAGATTCTAGTATGATGGCATCAGCCATCAGGAGAGACTGTAAACACATCCCACAGCCCTGGATGTCATTTCCCAGGCAAGCACCACCTGTCTGGTAGGAAGACAGGGGCTGTAGGCTGGGCTGAGATGATGAGGTCAGGATTGAGGGTGCTAGTGGGAATGGGAAGAGAGTCTGGGTCCAGGTGAAACTGGAAAATCCCAATGGTCATCTTAGACACGGGATTCTCTTTGGGATCTGTACCCCTCTTTGAGACAGTGGACAGTTGGCTAGATTTGAACTTTTTAGAGGGTCATCTGACCTCATCTCATTTCAAATCCCACAGATGGAGGCGTGGGGAGGAAAATAACTCTCACCAACATTTGAGAATTGTCCACATGCTCAGTGTGAAAGGCTGCTCTGAAATGGAGGGGAGCAGAGGTCCAGGGTGGACAGGACTTAAGCAGGGGGCATCAGTAGTAGAGAAGTGGGACAAGTCACCTTTCTTCCAGTGGTATAATGATGTGGAAAGGTTGTGTTACAACAAGAGAGGTTCTAATCTGGTGGGGGAGGGAGGCCCTCAAACAGATCATTACCCAGTGATGGAAATGACATTGAAGGGTACAGAGTTTGTAGAAAGCTGAGAGTAGAGGGAGCCAGGGTAGAAGCAGGCTAGGAATAGTCGCTGAAGGAGATGACTGGTAATGGAGAGCATAGCAGGGAGAGGAAGCAGCATGTTCAAGGACATGGAGCCGAGAAGTAGCAGGTGGTTCCAGCCAGCTAGCTGGACACATGGTTGCCCGTCTTTGGAGGAGCAGTGAGAGAGGGCTGAGGCTGGCATGGTGGGCAAGGCCAATCTGGCAAGGCAGTTGGCTATTATTCCCCAGGCTGCATTTTTAAATATTAGCCATTCAGGGTCTGCCTTCATGGCTTATATCACTACAGGCAGTCCCCAATTTCCGACAGGGTTCCATTCTGACGACTCCATTGTAGGTTGGTTCTGATATAAGTTGAATACCTCATTTTTTTTTTTTTAATTTTAGTTTTCACTGTTGTCTTTTATTATAAATATCTTTATAAATTTGATCTTTGTCTTTGGGGGTTGGAAACATTACATATAAACTTACAGATATATTTTAATACATATATCCATATTATTAACGATAAGATGTACAAAAAAAACAAGACACTCATAAGTGCGGTTCATCATAACTTGAATATGTCTTAAATTGGGGACTATGCTGTATAGTAAATGGCAAAACCAGTTCCATATATCGTAAGAGACCAAAAAAGAAAAAAAAAGACCAAAGACGTTGCTGTCGAGTCAATTCTGACTCATACCGACCCTATAGGACAGAGTAGAACTGCCCAATAGGGTTTCCAAGGAGTGGCTGGATTTGGACTGCCACCCTTTTGGTTAGCAGCCGACCTCTTAACCATTGCATCACCAGGGCTCCAACATAAGAGAAGGTGGTCATAAAATAAATACATGGAAACATGCAGTGTTATTGATTTCTTGTTAGTGCTGCCTGCTGAGTGGTCTATCTTCTGATTAAAAAGGGAGATGAACAAAGATTATTGAATGAAGAGTTGAAAAGGAAGTAATTTTCTTACCATGGTTCAAAAAACTCCTGCGTTCATCCCAGACTGATGGGGAGCTGTGGACAGATGTTTTAAGCAGGGGAATTTGGGCAACATTGATACATAGGCCTGCTGAGGGCATCTGAGGAAATGGTCTGAGAGAGCCCATCCCACCATGCCAGCTTGATCCCAGTGGGGCCTGACACAGCTGACCCCTGGTTTCCAGGCCGAGGCCGGCATGGAGCAGTGTGCGTGCGTGGAGAGAGAACTGGACAAGGTCCTGCAGAAGTTCCTCACCTATGGACAGCACTGTGAGCAGAGCCTGGAGGAGCTGCTGCACTACGTGGGCCAGCTGAGGGCTGAGCTGGCCAGCGCAGGTGGGTGTCCTCCCCCAACAGAAGCCCCACCAGCTGCACTGTGCACCTAGCAGACCCGGAGGCCACCTGGTGACAGAGTTCTGGAAGGATGATGGTTAGGACATTGGTACATGAATCCCTGGGCTTTCTCAAACGGGAGTAATGAAAGTCTCTAAGCTCTTTCAAAAGCCAACAAAAATTATTCATTTACCTCAGATTGCTTTCATTTACATTTTGTTTTCATTTTACTTTTTAAAACTATTTTTTAAACATTGTAAAATAATTTCAGACTTACAGAAATGTCCCAAGAATAGTATAAAGAACTCATATATATTCTCATATACCCATATATTCACCCAGATTCACCAACCGTGAACATTTTGCCATATTTGTTTTATCATCCTCTTGTGTACTATTATTTTTTCACCATTTGAAAGTAAAGCTGCAGATATCATGTCCCTTCAGTGGGTATTTTCTAAGATCAAGGGCATTCTTTTATATAACTACAGTGTAATTACTAAAATCAAGCAATAAAACATTGGTATATTATCATCTAAAAAATACAGCTCATATTCCGATAATTTTCATAAAGCAATTTTATTTTCCAGTCCAGGATCCAATTCAGGATCATGCACTGCATTTAGTTTTTCTTGTCTATCTAGATTTTTAATCTAGGACATTTCCTCCACCCTCCTTTGTCTTCCGTGACAGGGACATTTTGAAGCATTAAGGTCAGTTATTTTGCAGAACAACTCTCAGTTTAGATTTGTCTGATGCTCCCTCACGATTAGATACAGATTTTATATTTTTGGCAGGGGGACTTCCGCAGTGATGTGTTCTCAGTTCATCATATTAGGAGGCGCATGCTGTTGGCTTGTTCCATTACTGGTGATGTTAACTTTGGTCACTTGGTTAAGATGGTGTCTGCCAGGTTCCTCTACCATAACGTTACTATTTTTTTCTTTGTAATTAATAAGTAATTTGTGGAAAGATAACTTGGAGACTATATAAATATCTTGCTCATCATCAAACTTCAACCCACTAGTTTTAACATCCATGATGATTCATGCCTGAATTAAATATTACTATGCTAGCTGCAGCATGGTGGTTTTTTTCCTGCTTGATCTTTCCTTCTACATTTATTAGCTGGCATTCTACTGTAAGGAAGAGCCTTTTCTTTTCCCTTATTTATTTATTTATTATCAATTCACACTTGCAGATTCTTATTTTATTCAGTAGGTTATATAATCCATTATTGTCATTTATTTTGATGCTCAAATTATGCCCGATTTGACCAAAGGGAACCCCTTCAGCCTGGTTCCTATGTCCTTTTTCTAAAAAATTGAGATGAAATTAACCCTTATTTTAAAGTGTACACTTCATTGCTTTTTAGTATACTTACAGAGTTGTACAACCATCACCACTATTTAATTTCAGAACATTTTTATCACCCTAAAAAGAAACCCTGTACCCACTAGCAATCACTCTCCATTCCTCCTTCCCCACAGCCCCTGGCAACCAGTAATCTGCTTTCTTTCTACTTCAGATTTGCCTATTCTGGAGATTTCATATACATGAAATCGTACAATATGTGACCTTTTGTGTCTAGCTTCTTTCACTTAGCAGAATGTTTTCAAAGTTCATCCATGTTGTAGCATGGCCGAATAGTATTCCATTGTATGGATGTACCACATTTTGTATATCTGTTCACCTGTTAATGGACATTTGGGTTGCTTCCACCTTTTCGCTATTGTGAATAGTGTTGCTATGAGCATGCATCTTCAAGTTCCTGTGTGGACGTATATTTTCATTCTCTTGGGTATATACCTAGAAGTAGAATTGCTGGGTCATATAGTAATTCTATGTTCAGCCTTCTCAGGAACTACCAAAGTGGCTGCACTATTTTACATTCCCACCAGCAATGTATGAGGGTTCCAATTTCTTCACATTCTTGTTGGTACTTGTTATTGTCTGTCTGTTTTATTATAGCCATCCTAATAGGTGTGAAGTGGTGTCCTATTGTGGTTTTAATTTGTATTTCCCTAATAAATAATGATGTTGAGCATCTTTTCATGTGCTTATTAGCCATTTGTAGATCTTCTTTGGAAAAATGTCTATTCTAGTCCTTTGCCTATTTTTTAATTGGGTTATTTGTCTTTTCTATTGTTGAGTTCTTATGTATTCTGTATACTGGGCACTTATCAGATATATGATTTGTAAATATTTTCTCCCGTTCTGTGGGTTGTCTTTCACTTCCTTGATAGTATCCTTTGAAGCACAGAAGTTTTTAATTTTAAAATTGGACAAAGTCCAGTTTATCTATTTTTTCTTTGGTTGCTTGTGGTTTTCAAGTCATATCTAAGAAATCATTGCCTAATCCAAGGCCATGAAGATTTACACCTGTGTTTTTCTTGGAGAGTTTTATAACTTTAGCTCTTATATTTAGGTCATTGGTCCATTTTGAGTTAATTTTTGTATGTGGTGTGAGGTAAGGGGTACAACTTCATTCTTTTGCATATGGAGATCTAGTTGTCGAAAGACTATTCTTGCCTTCTTATGTCCTTTTGACATGTTCCCATCACTTTTTTTTTAAGCACTTCTTTACTTTCTAGCACAATAAGATGTTCCTTTCTATAAGGAGCCCTGGTTCTTTTAGTGGGGATTGGTATTTGGAAACCAAGATCTGGGTTGCTACTGGGATGGCATTGTTTCTAGATTCTTTTAGCAGACAGTCTTGTCTCTTTCTTTCCTTGTTTCTTTCTATCTACCTGTCCATCTGTCTATTTCAAACCATGAGTTCATACTGATACCCCAATTCCAATCCAATATCAATTGGTTCTTTTTATATTTCTCCCATTCCACAGTTATATCTCCCTTCAAAACAGTATGAAACCTGGCTCCCAACATCATCAATATATTTTCTCATTTGCTCAGTTTCTATAATACATAGAAAGTATTTTCAGAATTACTACACCCAATACCACTGAGAAAAAGCAAATCTACTAGTTTTATTTTTTAGTCTTTATTTTTAAAGAATGCATGCATATAGAAAAAACTTCAAGTTCAAAATGAAAAATGAATTTCCCTTTCACCCCCGACTCCCAGTTCCTAAGCATCCCTCCCTAAAAGCCACCCTTGTCCCCAGTTTCTCAGATGTCCTTACAGATTGCATCTGTGTGAACACATAGGGGTATGTCTAGGTGTCTGTTTCACACACCCCTTTTTTTAATTGTTGAGAATACACACAGCAGAACATACACCAATTCAACAATTTCTACATGTACAATTCAGTGACACTGATTACATCTTTCGAGTTGTGCAGCCTATCTTACCCTCCTTTTCTGAGTTGTTCTCCCCCATTAACATAAACTCACTGCCTCCTAAGTATCCTATCTTTTGAGTTGCTGTTGTCAATTTAATCCTGTATGGTCACCCTTTTTTTAAAAAAACACACACACAAAAGGTAGTATAAAATACATACTTGCTGCACCTTGAAGGCTTTTTCCCCTAAACAGTATGTGCTGGAGAGTGTTCTACATCAGCAGAGTTTTGCCTCATTCTTGCTAACGGCTGACCAACATTCCATTGTCTGGCTGTGCTGTGCTGCAATAAATGCCCAGGTTTCCTTGCTTTTGATGGCACCTGTTAGCTGCATGAGGTAAAAACAGTTTTATCTTGCTGGTCGGAAGCATTCATTTGCAGCTGCCTGTGCCCTTGGTTAGGAGCCCTGGTGGCGCAGTGGTTAAGTGCTCGGTTGCTAACTGAAAGGTCGGAGGTTTGAACCCACCAGCCACTCTGCAGGAGAAAGATATGGCAGTCTGCTTCCATAAAGATTACAGCCTTGGAAACCCTATAGGGTAGTTCTCCCGTCCTGTGCGGTCCCTGTGAGTCAGAATCACTCAAGAGCGGTGGGTTTTGGTGCCCTTAGTTAATAGATGATACTATGTTTTGGCTGCAGTGTTTTCACAGGGAGGCCATCTTCTCAGATGTGGAATCGCTGGGCTAATGGTAGTCAGTGGGGTCCTCATGAGATGAGGTTTGGGGACTTCTAGGTTAAAAGGCTTTGGACACTCAGTTATGTGAGCTAATGAATCTGCCCCCCCTTTGTTTAAGCCAGTCTGAGCTGGGTTTCTGTCACTTGTAACTGAATGAATTCTGACAAATACCAACAGGAGGTGTTGGTCAGGCCACCACCTACTCAAGGGAGACAGGGCTGGTTGCTTTGTGCTAAGATGTGGCCAGGGAATGTTCACAGTGCATTCTCTGTGACCTGGCAGCGCAGCAGATGGTGAGGAATGAGTGGAAGCTGAGGTTTCTCAGGGCAGTGCTAATGCCGGGAGTAGAATGCAGTTGGATTTCTGCTCTGTCTCCCTTGTTCCACGCTCTCTTTTGAATCCAGCTTGAATTTCTGGCAGTTCCCTGTGGATGTATTGCTGCAACCGCTTTTGAATGGTCTTCTAAAAAATTTTACTTGCGTGTGATATTAATGATATTGTTTGGTAATTTCTGTATTTGGTTGGATGGCCTTTCTTTGGAATAGGCATAAATATGGATCTCTTCCAGTCGATTGGCCAGGTAGCTGTCTTCCAAATTTCCTGGCATAGATGAGTGAGCGCTTCCAGTGCTGCATCCGTTTGTTGAAACATCTCAGTTGGTATTCATTCCGTCAATTCCTGGAGTCTTGTTTTTCGCCAATGCCTTCAGTGCAGCTTGGACTTCCTCCTTCAGCACCATCGATTCTTGATCGTATGCTACCTCCTGAAATGGTTGAACATCGACCAATTCTTTTTGGTACAGTGACTGTGTATTCCTTCCATCTTCTTTTGATGCTTCCTGCGTCATTCAATATTTTCCCATAGAATCCTTCACTATTGCAACTCGAGGCTTAAAGTTTTTCCTCAGTTCTTTCAGCTTGAAAAATGCCGAGTGTGTTCTTCCCTTTTGGTTTTCTAACTCCAGGTCTTTGCACATGTCATCATAATACTTTGTCTTCTCAAGCTGCCCACTGAAATCTTCTGTTTGGCTCCTTTACTTCATCATTTCTTCTGTTCGCTTTAGCTACGACATTCAACAGCAGGTTTCAGGGTCTCTTCTGATATCCATTTTGGTCTTTTCTTTCTTGTCTTTTTAATGAACTCTTGCTTTCTTCATCTCTGATGTCCTTGATTTCATTCCACAACTCATCTGGTTTTCGGTCATTAGTGTTCAGTGCGTCAAATCTATTCTTGAGATGGTCTCTAAATTCAGGTGAGATATACTCAAGGTTGTGCTTTGGCTCTTATGGACTTGTTTTAATTTTCTTCAGCTTCAGCTTGAACTTTCATATGAGCAATTGATGGTCTGTTTCGCAGTCGGCCCCTGGCCTTGTTCTGACTGATGATACTGAGTTTCTCCATTGTCTCTTTCCACAGATGTAGTCGATTTGATTCCTGTGTACTCCATCTGGCGAGGTCCACGTGTATAGTCACCGTTTATGTTGTTGAAAAAAAGTATTTGCAATGAGTAAGTTGTTGGTGTTGCAAAATTCTATCATGTGATCTCTGGCATCATTTCTATCACCAAGGCCATATTTTCCAACTACCGATCCTTCTTCGTTTCCAGCTTTCACATTCCAATCACCAGTAATTGTCACTGCATCCTGATTGCATGTTCAGTCAATTTCAGACTGCATTCTTCATCTTTGGCCTTAGGGGTTGGTGCATAAATGTGAATAATAGTCACATTCACTGGTCGTCCCTGTAGGCGTATCAATACTATTCTATCACTGACAGCGTTGTACTTCAGGATAGATCTTGAAATGTTCTTTTTGGCAGTGAATGCAACACCATTCCTTTTCAGTTTGTCATTCCCAGCATAGTAGATTAAATGAGTTAAACTATCCGAAGTACTTAACCCATGTTGTTATTGTTAGCTGCTGTCAAGTCGGCCCAACTCATGGCAATCCATGTACAACAGGATCAGACCATTGTGATCCACAGGATAGTAGATCGCCAAGCCTTTCTTTCTAGTCTGTCTTAGTCTGGAAGCTCCACTGAAACCTGTTCAGCATCACAGCAACACACAAGGCTCCATTGACAGATGAGTGGTGGCTGCACATGAGGTGCATGTAAGGCAAGAACCCTACCACTGAACCAGCACTGCCCTCACTTAACCCATAAACCAAAAAAAAAAAAACCAGTTGCTGTCTAGTCAGTTCCAACTGATGGCGACCCATGTGGGCAAAGTAGAACTGCTCCATAGGGTTTTCAATGGCTGTGACCTTTTGGAAGCAGATCACCAGGTCTTTCTTCCAAGGTGCCTCCAGGTGGCTTTGAACTGCCAGTCTTTTGGTAGTAGTTAAGCGCTTAACCTTTTGCGCCACCCAGGGCCCCAAACCATCACAACAATCTACAAGGCCAGTAATATTACCCCGTTTTACAGATGAGGAAACGAAGGCTCAGAGAGAACTGGGTTGTCCTAAGTCATGCATTTAAAAAGTAGCAGGACCCAGGATAGCGCCTGCTCCAGGTATTTTACTCCTGAGTTAGGGCTGCCTCCCAGGCCACCAGGCTGGCAGTTAGAAGCAGCAGAGACAAGGCCTGCTGTGGAAGCGGGTGCTCAAGTCTGCCTTCTCTGCATCCTGACTCAATGCCAGCGTTTCTCTGCAGCCCTCCAGGGCACGCCTCTCTCAGCTACTCTCTCCCTGGTGATGTCCCAGTGCTGCCGGAAGATCAAAGATACCGTGCAGAAACTGGCTTCGGACCACAAGGACATTCACAGCAGCGTCTCTCGAGTGGGCAAAGCCATCGACAGGGTGAGCACCTGGGCGGCCCCAGACCGGGGAGATATGTGGGGCTGTCCTGGAGCTAGTGAGTCCAGGAGCTCGGCAGGAAGGCAGGTGAGCACCCTAGTCATGGGGCCCTGTCTCTCGTCCTCATCAGAACTTTGACTCTGAGATTTGCGGTGTAGTCTCTGACGCGGTGTGGGACTCACGGGAGAAGCAGCAGCAGATCCTGCAGATGGCCATCGTGGAGCACCTGTACCAGCAGGGCATGCTCAGTGTCGCCGAGGAGCTGTGCCAGGTAATGCCAGGTGTTGGGGGAGGGGTGTGTGTGGAGTGGACCTGCCTTGCTGCTTTTACTTGATAAGTTTTCTGTAAACTGTTGTTGTTGTTAGCTGCCATCAAGTCGGCCCCCTACTCATGGTGACCCCATGCACAATGAGATTGGACCGTTGTGATCCATAGGGCTGATTTTTGCAAGTAGATCACCAGGCCTTTCTTCCTAGTCCATCTTAGTCTCAAAGCTCTGCTGAAACCTGTTCAGCATCATAGCAACATATAAGCCTCCACTGACAAACTGGTAGTGGCTGTGCATGAGCTGTATTGGCAAGGAATCAAACCCAGGTCTCCTGCATGGAAAGCAAGAATTTTATCACTGAACCACCAATGCCACCAATTAAGCCCGTTACTCTTTTTTTTTTGGTGAAAATATGCACAAAATGTAACACCTATTCAACGATTTTTACACGTACAGTTCATTGACAGTGGTTACACACTTCACATGGTGTCACCATTCTCCTTATTTCTCCCTCTATTGTTTCACCACCCTTAACTTAGACTCTGTCTGCTCCTTAAAGTTCTTGTCTGTGTTTTAGAGTTACTGCTGTCCATTTGATCTCATGTAGATAATTCTTTAAAAGAACACAATGCTCAAGGCAACATTCTTTATTAAATGCACTAACTTGCTGTTTTGTTTAAAGATGACTTTGTGGGATAGTTTTGGTTCAAGGCTTAAAAGCTGTTTCCAGACAATAGATTTGAGGGTTCCTTTAGCCTCAGTGTACTCCCTGTTTTTCTTTAAATACATTTATTTTAGAAAGGAAATCAGTGTCTTCTTGCCATAAATGAAGGTAACCCTAAATAAAAAAATATATATGATGAAAATAAAGTGAAGTTTTTAATTTCTAGTTTGAGTTGGTTGCCAGTCAGGGTCCTGAGTTTAGGCCTGATACTAAACTATTTCTTTACTATCCCTTTTATTAAAAAGGGAACTTAGTAAAAAGGGACAGTAGCAGTCAGTTGTTAGGTCTTAAGAACATACTGGCAGTCAATGAGACTTTCCTTCAATGTGATCAGGACAGGCAAGGAACTGAAAGGAGCATAATTTTCTCACCATAGTTCTCAGTGCAGGCCAGGGCCCGTCTCTAGCACCACAGTGGTGGGTGGGCTTTGCAGGCCACATTTGGGGAAGCCGAGCTTGCGGCACTCTGCCTCCCCAGAACTCAAATGGGAATGAGAGGGCCCATATGACTCCTGATGCAAATCCTGCTTTTTCCAGCCTGTTGTGGTAGATGAGGATTCATCATGTGCAGAGCAGAGAATTCTGGAAACACTGCCCTCCAGTGGTGGGGTCTCTCTCCCCCTACAGGAATCAACACTGAATGTGGATTTGGACTTCAAGCAGCCTTTCCTGGAGTTGAATCGAATCCTGGAAGCTCTGCATGAACAAGACCTGGGCCCTGCCTTGGAGTAAGGAGGTCCCTGGGGTTGGCCAGCGGCTGCTCTGCCCAGAGAATCATCTCCTGCCTTTGCTGCTCTGCCCTGACTTCCAGGGGACAGGGCTGTTGTGGCCTTCATTTCACCCAGATGTAACCTGCCATGCCTCCAGGGGACTCACATAGGCTTTGGGAGTCCACCTCTCAGGTCTTGGCTCTGTCACCAGCTCTAAACGGGCCCGTTTCTTCCCAGATGGGCCGTCTCCCACAGGCAGCGCCTCCTAGAGCTCAACAGCTCCCTGGAGTTCAAGCTGCACCGCCTACACTTCATCCACCTCCTGGCAGGTGGCCCTGAGAAGCAATTGGAGGCCCTCAGCTATGCCCGACACTTCCAGCCCTTTGCTCGGCTGCACCAGCGCGGTATGTACCCGGATGGGTGTGGATGCGGGGGTTGGAGCTGCTGACTCTGGCAGGTTTGCCGGGTTGCCAGTCCCGCTCCCACGTTACTGTGATGACCTCCCTACCTGGAAACTCCTTGGCCCCTCATCATCTGCCAGGTGAACTCAAACTCCCCCCATGGCACTCAGGGCGCTTCCTTGTCCGCCTCCACACCTTTTTAGCTTACTCTTAGGCTACTCCCATCTCCAATGCCCTGCCACATACACACACCTACCCCAGACTTCTCCTAGTGCTCACAACATGCCAGGCCCTCGTGCCACTTTGCTTTAGTGCATGCCTTTCCCTGCAGCAACTCTGCAGCATCCTTCTCGACCCTCTTCCTTGACACCAAGATTTCCTAAACCTGACATTTGAAATCTCTCACCAGTAGTATCCATCCACACTGTTAACTAGCTCCACTCATGTTTATTACTTTAAATTTCATTTAAAAATAAGTATGAAAACCAAGCAAATGTTCTTAAATTTTTTAACTAGATACTGCTGCCTCTATGAAGTGCTGACCCTGAGGTCTGCTTTGCTAAAAAGGGAAATTAGCATTGGAGAAAAAAGACACGAGTGCCGGCCTCTTGCTCCTGGAGGCACTCAGAAGGATGGGGAGACCCAAGAAAGGGCTCACCTCCCTGTGGGATCCTGTTGGGTTAATGCTTGTCTTTGTCCCACATGGTCAGGCCATCATTGGTGCCCACGCTGCCTCCCTGTCTGGAAGTGAGGAAGCCCCTAGATGCCACCTTTCCTTTGGATTTTTGGGAAAACCGGTTCTGCCTGAGGGCACTGTATTCGCAACCCTGCTGCCCCTCAGAGGATAGACCCCGGCCCTGGTGGGAAAGGCTGGCTCCTGGGCCCCAACCTGAGAGCTGCCGCCCTGGTTGCCTTGTAGAGATCCAGGTGATGATGGGCAGCCTGGTGTACCTGCGGCTGGGCTTGGAGAAGTCACCCTACTGCCACCTTCTGGACAACAGCCGTTGGGCCGAGATCTGTGAGACCTTCACCCGGGATGCTTGTTCCCTCCTGGGGCTTTCTGTAGAATCCCCTCTCAGCGTCAGGTATGACCCAGCCCTGTGAGGGCAGCAAAAATGGGAGGGTGCAGAGGGAAGCAGGATTTTGCAGACCTGCTATGTGCCAGGCATGGTGCTTGGTGCTTCCATAGACTCACTTTGGCTCTTAGTCACTCTTCAATATTGGAATTACCTACATTTTTACACACAGAGAAGCTGGAGTAAGGAAGAGTTGTAGCCTGAGATCCGCATGAAGTCAGTGGTGGGCCAAGGGTCTCATTTTGTAATGTCTCTGGCAGTAGGCCCCTGCCTCTCGTGCATCTCACCCTGGATTCCTGTAAGACCCTTCTGCAGTACCCCCACTCTCATCTTTCTAAAGTGCCACTGTCCTTCAAGGCAGACCTGAGAGGGGCTGAGTAACATTTAGAGATGTAGCTTGAAGACTTTTTTACCTTAATACTCCTAACAACTTCAGTGATCCTGGGAGTTAGAGGCACTACTCTCCTCATCTTACAGATCAGGAAACGAGGCTGAAGACATTAACCAACTTGCCTAGGGTCTCACAGGGAATTAAGGGCAACTAAACCTCACTCCACGGCCACATACTCCACCACAGTGGGTATTTATCACAGGGCATTTTTACTTAGACTGACTTGGGAATCTTAACAACCCAGCCCACCCCAATACGATGAGCCTCCACTCTCACTTGACTTGTTAACGTGCACTCAGGCTATAGGATGGCGCTTTAGACAGGATGGCTCCATGTTGTGCAGGACTGCCCTGCGCACTGCATGATATTTACTATCCACCTTCCAGCCAGCAGGCTCCCCCACCTACCTCTGCTACATCCCTCCCTCCCCCATTCCTGGGTGCCATAAGATACTACTGTGACAGAGGTTCTGGGTGACAACAGCAGATTGGTCCTACAGCTGGCTGGACCTCAGTCACACCAAGGATTTTTTAATGTTTTATTTAGATGAGCAGACATCTGCCCCTGGGTTTTCCTTTTGTTTTTCCTGTAGTCTCAGTTTGGGGTGCATTAGAATGACTATCTAGAGTTGGATACACATAACTATGTATGTGGCACTTTGTAAGTGATATAAGAGATTTTCAAAGACCAGTATGATCTTAGGCTACTTTGGACCTCAGGCCCAAGGTACCTGCTCAAAGGGCATATGGATCATTGTGTGTCTGCTGGGCTCCTGAAGGCCAAGCCAACACAGCCCCTGCTCTTGTCCTGCAGTTTTGCCTCTGGCTGTGTGGCCCTGCCCGTGCTGATGAACATCAAAGCTGTGATCGAGCAGCGGCAGTGCACTGGGGTCTGGAGCCACAAAGATGAGTTGCCGGTGAGGCCCAGCAGGGGGGTGCAGGCAGAAGGGACTCGGGGCAGACAGGACAGGACATGGGAGTCACCTGTGCTTGGCCTCCCCAGATCGAGATCGAACTAGGCATGAAGTGCTGGTACCACTCGGTGTTCGCTTGCCCCATCCTCCGCCAGCAGACATCAGACTCCAACCCTCCCATCAAGCTCATCTGTGGCCATGTTATCTCCCGAGATGCACTCAACAAGCTCATTAACGGAGGAAAGTGAGTGCCCCATGGTTGGCTCCTCTTAGGGTTGGCTGTCCTGCTGGCTGGCCCGAGACCTCCTTGGTTCTCCTCCCTTTGCAGGCTGAAGTGTCCCTACTGTCCCATGGAACAGAACCCAGCAGATGGGAAACGCATCATCTTCTGATTCCTGCCTGGAAGGAACTTTGTTGAAGGGTCTTTCACCCCTGAGCCTTGGCCACCCTTGGTTGGGTGGTTGGCCTCAGTGGTTTGTGTTCGTTTCAGAGCAACTGGCTGAGGAAGGCTCCTTTGGGGCGGGGCCGAGGAGGGAGGTGAACCACCTTGTACTGGGCAGCTGGCTCCTCTGCTGGCAGGGAGGGAGATGGTGGCCTCTGTTCTACTCTCTCCCACCCTGTTTATGTCTGCCATTGACTTAGTAGCAACCGACAGTAGCAGAGGACTTGGCCATCAGCAGACATCTTTCCTTCCCTACCCTCAGCCATGTCTCTTATTGCCATGCCAACACCATGTCCACTCTGGCCTGCAGACCATGGGTACCCAGCTGTGGCCACCTCCTCTCACTGTACAACACAACTGTATGTATCCATCTCCCACTGTAAATAGTCCAAGTGAGAGCTGAATGTCATTGTTTTCTAATTACTAGTAAATATATTCGCAGCCCTTCTCCTTACCTGTCACCTGCCCTTAGCTTCATTTGACCAGTGATTACACGTCTACTGTCCACAAGGTCTTGGCCTGGCCTGGCTGCAGCTGTGGCAGAAGCATGGGTGGCCAGTGCCCAGGCAGAAAGAACTCAACCTGCATCTCTGGTGGGAGAAGAAAGAGCCTGAGGCATTTTCCATGGGGCACGAACAAGGCAGAAGCTTGCAAAGGAGAGAGCTTGGAGTTTAAACCAGATCTGACTCTCAAGCCCAGACTATTTTCCAGTTTACTCCAAGATGCTTGAGGCTTGGTCACTATGTGCACTGAGCCCTGCATTGGGCCTCTGACAATAAGAAGTGGCCTTAAGTCTAAAATGTCTGAAGGGATCAGATTACCAGGGGCTGTTATGCTGGACGGGAGAGACGGCCTGTTGTTTTTTACTTCATATCCCTATTTAAAATGTACTATGTGGGTAAGTAAATTGCTTCCTTAAGTTTCACACTGAGATTTAAGGCTCCTGGGGGAAGAAGAAAAGAGGAATGAAGGTGTCCTCAATGCAGGGGCTGCAGGTTTCCATAAAATGGGTTCTGGGCTCTGCTGCCTTACCTTGCAGCTGACAGCTCCCTACTTGGGAGGTGGGAGTTGAGCGCTCTGGTGGACAGCAAAGAGTCCATTCTCAGCTCGAGCCCAAGCACTCAGCCCTGGGTGGCTGGGCACAAGCACTAAACCCTCTTAAAGAGTCCTTCAGGGTCTCTGGTTAAAACAGCTGCTTCCACTTTCCTGCCCACGAACTCCTTGGCCCCACCCGCAGCTGCTGCTTAGAAAAACACCCACAGACTCACATTTCAGTCTTGGCATTTACTGCCCCCACACCAAATTCTTGGAACTGTCTTCATGTAAATGGAACAGGAAACAGTGCTGATTGAGAAGATGCTGGCTTTATCCTCATGAAGTAGTTGTTGGAGCTGCCTGGGAAGAATACATGCCTCAGGCAACTGAGGAGATGCTGGGAGCATGGGTGGCAGCCGGTTGGCCCACTGCCCACACAGCAGCTTCCAGAACAGGTGCCAGGTTGCTACCCGAGTCCTTCACAGTGGCGGGGGCAGGGCTTGGACCTCCTCGAGGCACTCATCATAGGCCTCCTGGTACTCCTCGTGGGGCTTGACCATTATCACACAGGTGGGGCGCTTGGAGCCAGCTGCTGCTCCCAGGTCCTACAGAGAGAGAAGGGCTGTCTGGAAAAAAAGGCCACACAACCTGTAGGCCAGGAGTCACAAACTGATAAAGAACGATGATGGAGAAGGGCTTAATCTGGTCCACAGACAGGTTGTTGGGTCTGCGTTATGTTTAAAACATTTCGAATTGTTTGCCATCATTTAAACTCCGCAAAGTTTCAAGCCACAGTCTAGTAACACTGGGCCAATGTTCCCACACGGCCACAGTGACTGGCCTAGAGCCCAGCAGGGCTGCCCCCTACCACTTGTGGCCCCAGACCTGACTCCCACTATAGAAGGGTAAGGACAGCTGTAGCTCCCCAAATACCTGCCCTGAGCACCCATCCAACAGGGCTACCGCTGGGGCAGTATTTCTGTTCACAAAGCACATTCACACACCTCTTCCATTTTCATTCTCAATCTACAGGAGGGATCCCACTCAACAGGAAAGAAGCAGAAGTGCAGAAAGGTAACTTACTGCACCCCAACGAGGAAGTGACAGAGCTAATGGACCCAGGCCTATCTTCACGGCAGAACTTGCATTCTTTCCTATTAGGCAACCCCTCCCCAGTGCTGACCAGGGTCGGTGGGGTCACGTGCTCCTTACCGTTTTAGAGGGGATATAGACATAGGGCAAATTCCGGTCCTCACACATAACCGGGAGGTGGCAGTATACCTCAACAGGGAGTGTGTCTCCCGCCAAAACCATGATCCTGTAATAAAAGACATCACGGTCATTTCTAGCTTGTTCTTTCCTTCCTTTCAGTCTTAAGTGCTGCCTCTGGACTGGGCATTGGGGGTACAGAGACAAATAAGATGGCCCTGCCCTCAAGGAGCCCAGTTATTAATGAGGGAATGTAGCCCTCTGAAAGTGAGAGCAAAATTGTGTATTTGGGTAAGTGCATTCTTCTGAGGAGATGGGTCTTTATTTTTTTAACCACAACCACTGAACGGTAGAAGTTGACATGGCAACATTTATGCCACCAAGTGGTATAGTGCTGGGACAGGTGAGGTGTGGCAGGGGCCCCAGGGAGTAAGTGCTCAGCTCTCCCTAGAGACCCAAAGAAAGGCTTCAGCTAAGGAGGTGACACTTGAACTGAAGGCTGAACAATAAATGTCTGTCTGGCAACCATAGGGGGGAAGGGGGCACTGGAGATGAAGCCATTTAAGGCTGAGAAGCAGAATGACAACACATAACACAGGGGTTGCTGGCCACCTGGGATGGCTTTGGAATCCAGGGTGGATGGGGTGGAAAAGAAGGCTGGAGAGACCTGACTGAGGGCCTTGAGTGGCAATGCTAAAAAGCATGGGCTCTGTCCCATGAGTGATGGGAACTGCTCTGGGCAAGGGCTTCAGAAGGCCTGAAGACACAGAAGGGAGAGTCCATTCTCCAAGGACAGGTGACAGGCAGACACAAGGAAAGAAGCTTTGGTTCAAAATGTTGCTTCTGCATTCTAGTTTTCCTTTTGCATCTTGGCCTCTCTTCTTCCTCTAAGTGTTGGTGTTCACCACACTATGTGACAACTCCCAAATCTGTTCTCTCCAGCCTGGCCCCCTCTCAAGCTCCAAGCCCATCTGTCTGTCTGACAGTTCCGCTGAGGGGCATTGTAGGCTGGGGGAGTGTATCGCAAAGGTACCTTAAAAAAACTGTCTAAAACCAAGCTTGTGATCTTCCCACACAAACCTCGCCCTCCTTCACTGTTTCCTCTCAGTGAATGGGATCCTCAGTCCATTCAGCTGGGTAAGCCAAAAAAGAAGTCATTAATAGCACTTTACTCTCCATATCCTAAATCCTCTCAAGTCCACCCGCTGTCATTCTCCTCCATCACCAACCTAATCAAAACAGTAACCTCCTTCCTATCAGTTTTCCCAAATCTACTTTTGCCTCTCTAATCCTTTCTTCCCTCAAGTGAAAAAATGTTCTTAAGGCATATATATAATCTTGTCAGTCACTGGCTTTAACCCTTCAACGGCCCCCAAAGATCCAAGTACAAAAACTAAACACCTTACCATTGCTCACATGCCCCTCTTTCTTCTGGCTGGAACCACCTCCTTCCCCCTCATACCTCCATTAGTCCCTGCATCTTCAGATCTCAGCTCAAATAAAACTCCCTGATGTACACCCTCCCTGCCCCCTCACCTAGGTCAAACTAGGTCAGACTCCCAATTTTGCATCAAATCCCCCAGCCGTATTTCTTGAGCACCTACAGTGTTCCTGACACTGGGGATAAAGCAGTGGGAGGCCCTATTCTCAGGGAGCTTGTAGTCTGGCCCGTGTGGGAGCTACTGGGAATAAAAATGTAAATACGAATTTCAGATTCTGATTAATGCCCGAAAGTAAGTAGAAGAAAAGTCATTCTCACTGCACTTTTTCTTCGTGGTTATCACAATTTGTAATTATGTTCTGATGATTTGCTCAATGTCACTGCATCCCCATAGGCAGAGTGCGTGACAAAGCCCTCAATAAACATTTAGTCGCTGAATGAAGAAGGGGGAGTCTACCCTAACTGAATTAGATAATAGGATTAGCTTCCTTCGGGAGTTCACTTTGCTCACGGCCTCCCTCTGAGCTCGTGTAAGTGACATATGGGGATCTGTATCGAGTGGAGCTTACCGACTGCTTTATTATACGAGTCTGAGTCAGTCCACCCAACTTTTACCGAGCACCTAAGTTTACCGTTTAGAAATGCGAAATCGGACGGGGAGGGGGGTCTTACCCTTTTTCGCCTTTGTTGATAAACTTCTGAACCTCCTTCACGCCGCGCCTAATCTGCTTCTGCTTCACGGCTGCAACGACAGAAGAGTCAGTCGGAGGTCTCGCACCGCCCGTGCGCCCCCACCTGCCCCGGCGCCCGCTGCACCTTTCTTGATGCACTTGTAGAGCTTCCGCGTGAGGCGGCGGGAGGCCAGGGGCTGCGCGATGGGGTTCAGGTTGACCAGCAGCTCATGGTAAGTGCGCTCCCCACAGCACGCCTCCGTCGGCGCCTCCGGCCCGTCCGGGTCTGGCTTTATTTTGGTCATCGCGGCGACGCGGCAATACCCACGCCAAGCCCCCAGAAGGTGAACCCACGCGGCCAGCCTCTGCGGGAATCACTTCCGGGTTGTCCCAGCAGTACGCCACAACCAATTAGGAAACTAGGTTTAATAAAAAAAAAGTCTCCAACTCACAGGCCAATCGTTGACGCTCAGCCTCTTAAATAGAGTTAGAGAGAGGGTCAGAGTCTTGGCCATAGGAGGCGGGGCCACTCCTATTGGACTGCGCGGATTAGGGGCGGGCCCGGGGGGGAAAATCTGAGGCGAGGGGTGGGGCCTAGAGGGGTTGGGAGGGAATAGAGGCGTCGCGGGGACTGAGAGCGGAAACCGGAGGCACTACCTGTGGGGGCGTGGCCATGCCTGAGGGGGCGGGATCGTCGCCCGAAGGGCGGGGTCTGCGGCCGCAATGAAAGAACCGGAAATCTGTTCTTAGTGTGATTCAGAACCAACTTAGTTAAGATCTGACGCCTCAAGTGGTCATTGCGGAGCCCGGTCAGGTCCTGGGACCTGAGCTGGTCCTGGATGATGTCTAAGTGCTAAAGGTAAAGCCTGACGCTGCTAATAGTTTCTTCCGTTTTTGCGTAATACCTCTTCATTTGCTTTCTCGTGGCCCCAGCTGCACAGCTATTTAAGGAAGACGCAGAGCAAGGGATGGCCCCACACGTCGACTGCTTTTCCCCAGATAACCCCGGGGCTTGCTCCCTGTCTTCCTTCAGGGATCTGCTCAAATGTCACCCCATGGGAGAGAATCCTCTGATCACCTTATCCAAAGTTGCAGCCCTTTCGCCCTCCCACCAGCATCCCCTAACCCTTTTATTTTCTTCATAGTTCTTGCCACTGTGCCTGGTATTACACACATCGCTGAGGCAGAGCTGGGTATGAAGGGCAAGGCCGCTTGAGCACAGCGGTGAAAACTGGGAGGGAAAGGCATTTGGAGCTGAGATTTGGAGCAAGTGGGATGCGGGAGAGTACTGAGGAGACACACCAGTTTGAATGGATCTGTAGAGGGCTGGGGGACAGGGACGCTGGTCAGGTGAGCAGGCCTCGGCTGGGTTGGATCTTGGTATCTGTGACATAGTTCTTTGTCTTGAAACCAAACCAAAAAATCCAAACCAGTAGCCATCAAGTCAATTTTGATTCATGGCGACCCAATGTGTGTCAGAGTAGAACTGTGCCCCATAGGGTTTTCAATGGCTTGTTTTTGGAAGTGCGCTGCCAGGCCTTTCTTTCGAGGTGCCTCTGGGTAGATTCTTCCCAGGTTCCTCTGGGTAGGTGGATTTGAGCCACCTTTCGGTTAGTAGCCTACTTGGTTAATAGCCTTAACCTTTTGTCTGATTTAGGAAATAATTGGAGGTATTAATCCCTGTCCTTGAGCATAGAGAAAGTGACTCAGCTGGAGCTGGGCTCCCAAGGACTAACAAGGACACATCACCTGGGCCCTGATTGTATAAAGACAATAGCTAAGATAATCTTGGAAAATACCTTTTAGGGAAACTTTCACATGAAGCTAATCAAACAGAACACAAAAGACTTTCTACTCTTATCTTTTTCTGTTAGAATTTAGTGAATAGAAATTTGTTGGACCACTGAAGACCCTCCTGACTCTCCTTACTGAAACCTGTACCAATGATTGTTAAGAAAAACAATTCAAAATGTAGGATCACAGTTTCTAGCCAATCTGAAAAGGCTAAGCTTTCAATGGTTTTGCCCGTTTGTAATGTTAATATATACTGATAACTCTGTAATGGCCTTGGGACTTGGGCAGACATGGCTGTGGCAGCATGCTTGTCCGTTTTCCCACTTTTGTCTATCTTGTGATATTTCCTTGGACTCGGGCAAACACAGCTGTGACAGCATGCTTGTCCGTGTTTCCCACTTTTGCCTTTTTGAATATATGCTGAATAAAACTTTCTTTTTGCTTTAGTAGTCTTTCTGATGTTCTTCCCTTACAACATGTCCCACCCAGGGACTCCTGTCTAGGAACACACCGACTGGATATTGATTAGATAATTGCTACCAATTACTTGCCTTTGGTTATTCAGTGGTAGGCCTGCCATTTTTGTGACGTAACAGGCCAGTAAGTGGAACTTTCAGAGTGTGTGGGAGGCCATGGGGTTGGAGCATTGGTCAGTTAAGCCAACTTGTCCAACTTAAAAATGGACTTCTTGAATTTTTTGGCTTTGGAATTTCTTGAGGTGGCCTCTTCCTGAGCCTTAGGTTGACAGGTCACGGTCAGCTTTTGCCTCACTGCTGACAACTTTGCAGTAACCGTTTCCTACCCCCAAATCTCCCCTCCCGTCCTCTTTTCCTGGCCATCCTGGAGCAGGAGGTCTGCTCCTCACTGGGAAGGCCTCCCCACATCGCCTGCGACGCTGGCAAACCAGCCTTGTGGCCTTCTTGGAACACACAGCAGGGTTTTCTGTTCCTTCCCACAGGTCATTCCTATGAACAGTTTCAGCCTTGTAGGACTGGTATGAAAACAGACCAGAGTCACAAAGATGAGAAGTGCTCCAGATTAGTGCATGGGGCGTGATGAACTCTGTCCAGGGGAGAAATGGAGAAATTCATCCCGGAGAAACCCAATTCGAGCACATTTTGTTGACTGAGGCCTTGACCTCACTGAGACCTAAAACCCCTTACCATCGAGTTGATTCTGACTCAAAGCGACCCTATAGGACAGAGTAGAACTGCCCCATAGGGTTCCCAAGGAGCGACTGGTAGATTCAAACTGCCGACCTTTTGATTAGCAGTCGAACTCTTAACCACTGTGCCACCCGGGCTCCTCTTATGCGGAAGGAAGAGGGAAATGAATGTTTATGTGCCCAGCATATTACATGTAATATCTCAGTGCTCACCAAAAATACCATTATTATTTACAGCTTACTGAAGCTCAGAACAATGAATAGCTTGGTCCAGCTCACACAGCTGGATTTGAACCATGGTCCGCTTGTCTCCAAGCCCAGATTCTCCCCATACTAAGGGAGTTAGTGGTTGACTTTAGCTCAAAGGTTGTGAAATGTGGCTGATAGTTAAAGTGTAGGAACCTCAGCCTGGCCAGGTCACAAGTGTCAGCTTGGTACAAGGAAGTACCAAGAGCAAGTGTGTCCTCAGTAAACCACATTGTATATTTCTAAAGCCAAGTTCAGAAATCTGTGCTGGATTCAAGGTGGTTTGTGTGATTTTACCGATTTTTTGTTAGAATGGTGGTAAGGAATAAAATCAAAACAGAGGCATCTGACCTATTTGTAAAATGACTGAGCTAGCTAATGCGTAGAGCTCAGTGTAACCCTTCCTCCATACTGTGCCTTTGTTGCCTAGGAACCAACCCATATGATTGTTAAGGAAATAAGTTTCTCTGTAGTCAGAGTAAAGAATGTGAATACCTCCTGGAAACTCATTTTTTCCCTGATGGAAGCTCTTTGTTCCCAGTCTCCTCTGGAGATTGACTCTCTGAGCAAGGTAACTTTTAACAGACCACTCCTGAAAATTTCTGTCATGTCATTGCTTTGTAACCAACATGAAGCCCCCCTGACCCCATGTCTTTCAATTATGTCTTTTAGCCAATCGATGTATTCATATAACCAATAATGTCAGAGATTATGCTTTACTTTGTCTCACCTTTGACTGATTCAGTCAGTATAAACCAATCAGAATATTGTGTTTTGTACTTCCTCCTCCAGCCCTGTAACTGGGTACCTCCAACTGCTCCCCCTTGGATTCCTGTGTTCCATTTGCTGGGGTTCCATGATTCCCCATTGCAGTGTTCTTTTGTGCTGCAGCTGTCTCTGTTCCCTCAATAAAATTCTTTACTTTCAATTTTAACCAGGTTTTTGATTTTGCTGTACAACAATGGTCACACTAGCTTCCTGAAGCAGTGTAGAGTGGGTGAGAATATAGTGACTCATGGGCAGTAGACCGGGGTTCTCAACGGCAAGGGTTGTCGTTGTTAGCTGCCACATGTCAGCCTTCGACTCATGGCAATTCCACATGTTACAAAGTAGAACTGCTCCATAGAGTTTTCTTGGATGTAATCTTTATGGAAGCAGATCACCAGGCCTTTCTCTCACAGAGCCTCTGGGCAGATTTGAACTGCCAACCTTTGGGTTAGCAGCCAATTGCAAATCGGTTGTACTACCCAGGCTCCTAAATGGCAAATTACTTTGGGCAAGTCATTTAACCTCTTTGGGCTTTAGTGCCTTATCTATAAAGTGTTGTAGGGGAAAAACATCATAAAGTTTAGTAAAGCAAAAATAAAGTCTTATTCGGCATATATTCAAAAGGGCAGAAGTGGAAAGCGGACAAGCATGCTGCCAGAGCTATGTCTGCCCAAGTCCAAGGAAATATCACAGAACAGACAAAAGTGGGAAAGTGGACAAGCATGCTGCTACAGCCATGTCTGCCTGGAGTCCAAAGAATATTACAGAATAGGCAAGAATGGAAAAACGGGCAAGCATGCTGCCACAGCCATGTCTGCCCGAGTCCAAAGAACAGTTACAGAGCCATCAGTCTACATTAACATTACAAATGGGCAAAACCACTGAAAGTTTAGCCTTTTCAGATTGGCTAGAAACTGTGATCCTACATTTTGAATTGTCTTTCTTAACAATCGTTGGTACAGGTTTCAGTAAGGAGAGTCAGGAGGGTCTTCATTGGTCCAACAAATTTCTATTCACTAAATGCTAATAGAAAAAGGGTAGAAAGTCTTTTGTGTTCTGTTTGATTGGCTTTATGTGAAAGTTTCCCTAAAAGATATTTTTCAAGATTATTTTAGCTATTGTCTTTATACCATCAGGGCCCAGGTGATGTGTCCTTGTGAGTCCTTGCGAGCCCAGCTGTAGCTGGGTCACATTCTGTATGCTAAAGGAGAGGGAATAAATGATTATAATATTATTTCCTAAATCAGAAGTGAAAAAGTTTGTGTTAACTGTTTGTACCACCCAAGGACTCCAGGGTTTGTTTAGTGTTGCTTAAATAAATGATGTCACACCCTAATTTGCTCAAAATCCAACTGGTAACTTCCTCACACAGGAAAAGCATTTGCACACGTAATTGAAACTTGTAAAATTATATTGTTGTTTTTCACTGGATAGTGTGTTCAAGATTTAGTTATTAAAGTGACAGCACTACCAAAAGGTCAACAGTTATCCTAAAGCAAAGCTGAGAAGATAAGGAGGGACAGGGAAACTAGAGCGCTGGAAACGGAGCAACCAGAATGCAATTAAAGAGAACTTTGACACTTTGTGAAAAACGTAGCTAATGTCACTAAACAGTTTGTATAAAAATTGTCAAATGGGAACCTAATTTGCTGTGTAAACGTTCACCAAAAACACAATAAAATATTATTTAAAAAAATAAAGTGATAGCACTTCACATTACAAATTGTTCTCAATCTAGTTGTTAGTGATAAAAGCAGGATGTAAAACCGTGATTATATGATTTCAATAAAAATATATGTGCATTTTTACATCAAAAAAAAAAAAAGTGAAAAAGTTAGACCTTTCTGGACTAAGGTCCCATCTTTTGAAAAATTGTGGAGGATTTTTTTAAAAAATATGTACTTCACATACCATATAATTCACTCATTTAAAGTGTGTAATTCAATGACTTTTTGTATGTTCACAGTTGTACAACCATCACCACCATGAAATTTAGGATATTTTCATCACCTCTAAAAGAAACCCTATGCGTTTAGCTATCACTCTCCAAACTCCCCAGTGCCCCCACACCTAAGCAACCACCATCTGCTTTCTTTCTATCTTCTATGGATCTACCTACTCAGGACGTTTCGTAAAGATGGAATCATACAATGTGTGACCTTTTGTGTCTGGTTTTTTTCAGCCAGCATATTGATTTCAAGGTTCATTCGTGTTATAGCGTATATCAGAACTGTATTTCTTTTTATGGCCAAATAATATCCCACTGTATAGATATACCAGATTTTATCTGTTCACCAGTTGGTGGACATTTGAGTTGTTTCCACCTTTTGGCTATTGTGAGTGTTGTTATGAACACTTGTGTACAAATTTCTATGTGGACATATGTTTTCATTTCTCTTGGGTATATGCCTAGGAGTGGAATTGCTGGATCAAATGGATCTAATATTTAACTTTTTGACAACTGCCACACTATTTTCCGCAGTGGCTGTGCCATTTTACATTCCCACGAGCAACGTATGAGAGTTCCAATTTCTCAACATCCTTGCCAAATCTATTACAAAATCTGATAATGTCTCTCTTAAATACTTGCCAATATTGGCTTTTGTTTTATTTTATTGTGGTGAAATATATATAACAAAAAGTTTGCCATTTTAACTATTTTTAAGTGTACAAGTCAATGATATTAATTACATTCACTGTGTTGTACTACTGTTGCCGAGTGGAAACCCCAGATTCTGCTCGGCATGACTCAGCTCAGCCAATAAACAAGAGACCAAGGTGGGAAAATAGAGAGGTGCCTTTATTTCGTTGTGCAAGGAAAGGAGACAGTTGGGGCTGCTGCCACCAAGACTGCTCAGCGAGGGTGAGGGGAAAGGCTACTTTTAAGGGGTTTACAAGTGGGAAGTTCATAAGAATTACATCAGCAACATTCTTAATCATATTATATAGTCACAATGGGATTTACATATAACTTCATGCATCATGTGTTCAGAAAATGGCAGTTAAACTCCACCCAGAGGTGGAGAAGTTACTATGTATGAGGTCTAAAAGGTTATCCTGAAGGTCAACATGGCACCTAAACCGGTTTCCGCCAATTTCCTCTAGTTTTGGGGACAGCAGTTAAAGAGAGGGGAACCAGGATTTTAATGTAAAGCTACTGGGCATGCCAAGCAAGCTGCTTGAGGCAGTAGAATTTTCCCTAGCCTGGGGACCTCTGTCTTACTACCATTACCACTGTCCATTTTGAAATGTTTTACATCACCTCAAGCTGAAGTTCAGTATTCCTTTAGTAATAACTCCCATTCTCTCTTCCCCCCAGCCCCTGGTAACCACTAATAAATAAGCCTTCGTCTCTATGCATTTGCCTATTCTGGGTATTTCATATAAGTGTGATCATACAGTATTTGTCCTTTTTTGTCTGGCTTATTTCACTTAGCATAATATTTTCAAGCTTCTTTCAAGTCTTGGCATATATCAGAGCTTCATTTCTTTATGGCTGAATAATATTCCATTGCATGGTATGGATATACCACAATTTTTTTATCCACTCATCTGTTTTAGAGCACTTGTTTCCACCTTTTGGCTATTATCAATAGTACTGCAGTGAGCTTTGGTGTACTTGCATGTGTTTGAGTCCCTGCTTTCAGTTCTCTTGGGTATATACCTAGGAGTGAAATTGCTGGGTCATATGGAAACCCTGGTGGTGTAGTGGTTAAGAGCTATGACTGCTAACCTAAAGGTTGGCAGTTCAAACCCACAAGGTGCTCCTTGGAAACCCCATGGGGCAGTTCTTCTCTGTCCTACTGTCCTATAGGGTTACATGAGTTGGAACTGATGCAACAGCAATTTTTTTTTTTTGTTTGTTTGTTTGTTTAATGGTAATTCTGTATTTAACTTTTTGAGGAACCACCTAACTGTTTTCCAGAGCAGCTGCACCATTTTATATTCCCATCAGCAGTGGAGGAGGATTCCAATTTCTCCATATTCTCATCAACACAGAGCACTTACTGATGAAGATCAAAGACTACAGCCCTCAGTATGGATTGCATCTTAACATAAAGAAAACAAAAATCATCACAACTGACCAGTAAGCAACATCATGATAAACGGAGAAAATATTGACGTTGTCAAGGATTTCATTTTACTTGGATCCACAATCAACACCCATGGAAGTAGCAGGCAAACAAACGAGGTATTGCATTGGGCAAATTTGCTGCAAAAGACCTCTTTGAAGTGTTAAAAAGCAAAGATGTCGCTTTGAGAGCTAAGGTGTGCCTGACCCAAGCAGGGGTATTTTCAGTTGCCTCATATGCATGAGAAAGCTGTACAGTGAATAAGGAAGACCTCGGAAGAATTGATGCCTTTGAATTATGGTGTTGGCAAAGAATATTGAATATACCGTGTACTACCAGAAGAAGGAACAAATTTGTCTTGGAAGAAGTATAGCCAGAATGCTCCTTAGAAGCAAGGATGGCGAAACTTTATCTCACATACTTTGGACATGTTATCAGAAGGGATCAGTCCCTGGAGAAGGGCATCATGCTTGATAAAGTAGAGGGTCAGTGAAAAAGAGAAAGACCCTCAATGAGATAGATTGACACTGGCTGCAACAATGGGCTCAAGCATAATAACAATTGTGAGGATGGTGCAGGACCAGGCAGTGTTTCATTCTAGGGTTGCTATGAGTTGGAGCCTACTCTGGTGGCACCTAACAAGGACAACAGTAGGGGTGAAGTGGCATCTCATTGTGGGTTTGATTTGCATTTCCTGAATGACTGAAGACTTTGAGCATCTTTTCATGTGCTAATTGGTGCCAATACAGGGTTTTAGCAGTCTTTTTTTTTGGCTGGTGGTGGTGGAGGTAGAAAATGGTGTCTTACTTTAATTTGCATTTCGTTAATTCCGTGGGAGGCTGAATATTTCATAATTTCACGGGTCATTTGTATTTATTTTCTGTGAACTACCTGTTCAAATTTTTCTACAGAGTTGGCTTGTCGCTTTAGAAAAGCTTTTTGTACTTTCAGGAAATTTGTGCTCTACTTGATGTATATATGGCAAATATAGATAGACAGAAGTTTTTAACCAGTCCATCATTTGTCTTTTGACTGTTACAGCAAAGTTAACGTTTAGGTGGTTAAATGTATCGATCTATGGCTTCTAAGTTTTGTGCCGTGTTTAAAAAGAACTACTTCTGGCGTTGCCATGAGTTGGAGTTGACTCAGTGGCAACTGGTTTGTTTTTGTTTACCCCATGATTTTATTTCTCCTGGTGTTTTTGCTTTTGATCCTCTGGTTGAATTTGTGTTTGGAGCAGGAGCAAGGCAAGGCTCCAGCTTTCCTCTTTTCCAGATGACTATCCAACTGTCTTGATGCCATTTATTGAATTATTTCTCTATCCACTCATTTAAAATGCCTCTGTTGTACACTAGATTCTAAAATGTATTGGGGTCTATTCCCAGCCTCTCTATTTTTTTGTCTAGTACTAAACTGCTTTGCTCTTTACATCTTTTAATATCTAATAGGGCTTAAAACCTTTACCAGTTTAAGCCAAGTCTAGAGGAGAGCATGATACGGCAGAGGGAGCAAGGGTTTAGGAGTACTCTAGGGTAATAACACCACGAAGTTTATTCAGCATATATGGAAAGAAGCAAAAGTGGGAACAGACAAGCATGCTACTAGAGCCATGTCTGTCCGAGTCCAAGGAATATTACAGAATCATCAGTATATATTAACGTTACGAATGGGTAAAATCATTGAAAGCTTCACCCTTTTCGTAGATTGGCTAGAAACTGTTAAGTCACCTTGATTCTACATTTTGAATTGCCTTTCTTAATAATCATTGGAACAGGTTTCAATAAAGAGGGTCTTCCTTGATCCATCAAATCTTCTATTCACTAAGTGCTAACAGAAAAAGGTAAGAGTGGAAAGTCTTTTGTGCTCTGTTTGGTAAGTTTATGAGAAAGGTTCCCTGAAAGATGTTTTCCAATATTGTCTAAGCTATCGTCTTTATACTTCAGGGCCCAATTGATGTGTCCCTGTGAGTCCAGCTCCAGCTGGGTCACATTCCCTATGCTCAAGGACAGGGAATAATGGCTCCAATATTATCTCCTAAATCAGGAGTCAAATAGACCAGAATTTGAGTATCAGGCATATAGTTTAGAGCTTTTTAACTGTCCCTGGTTAAGGAGTTGGCTATGTTGGGGAAAAGTTACTATAAAACAAAATCTACATACTCCCAACCCAGAAAACCTCTTCATAAAAATAGAAAAGAAAGAAAAGTTTTATTCTTGAATAAGCATTAAATTAGTATGTGATGCATCACAGGCAATCGGCTAAAGAGATTGCAAAGACAGAAAGGAATCTTGTCCTTTATATAGCTAAACAGATACAACCCATTACATGTTTTCAAAATAATATTGCTAATCTTCTAGTATCTTTAGGGTACCTGAAGTTATGCGAAACTTCTTACAGGAACCTGGGAGGTAGGGGCCATCTTCGTTGATGATTACATTTCAAAAGAGAATGGTTTCCAAGCACTTGAGGAAACATCCTTGATTTACATACTTTTCAAAGAGAGAAAAAGAATTTACAAGTTATCTAAAGCGGATTCTGAAAGAACAGGGGAGGAGAGGAGCCTCTTGCCTTATTTTCAACAGTGAGAATTAAAACCTCTTATTTTCTTTTTTTTTTCTTCCTTACAGCTGCTAATCAGAAGGTTGGAGGTTCAAGTCCACCCAGAGGAACCTCAGAAGAAAGACCTGATGATCTACTTCCCCAAATTCAGCCATTGCAAACCTTATGGAGCACAGTTCTACTTTGATACACATGGGGTCTCCATGAATTGGAGCCACCTGGACAGCAACTGTTTGATTGGTTGGTTGTGTTGTAAGGTAAAAACATCATAAAGTTGACTAAAGCAGAAAGAAACTTTTATTCGGCATGTGTTCAAAAAGGCAAAAGTGGGAAATGGACAACCATGCTGCCAGAGCCATGTCTGTCCAAGTTCAAGGAAATATCACAAAACAGACAAAAGTGGGAAAACAGACAAGCATGCTGCTAGAGCTACGTCTGCCTGAGTCCAAAGAATATTACAGAACAGGCAAGAATGGGAAAAGGGACAAGCACGCTACCATAACCATGTCTGCCCGAGTCCGAAGAACAGTTATGGAGCCATCAGTATATATTAACATTACAAATGGGCAAAACCATTGAAAGCTTAGCCTTTTCAGATTGGCTAGAAACTGTGATCCTACATTTTGAATTGTCTTTCTTAACTATCATTGGTACAGGTTTCAGTAAGAAGAGTCAGGAGGGTCTTCATTGGTCCAACAAATTTCTATTCACTAAATGCTAACAGAAAAAGATAAGAGTAGAAAGTCTTTTGTGTTCTGTTTGATTGGCTTTTTGTGAAAGTTTCCCTAAAAGATATTTTCCAAGATTATCTTAGCTATTGTCTTTATACCATCAGGGCCCAGTTGATGTGTCCTTGTGAGTCCCTGTGAGCTCAGCTCCAGCTGGGTCACATTCTCTATGCTCAAGGAGAGGAAATAATAACTCCAATATTATTTCCTAAATCAGTTGCTTTGGTTTCTTCGCCTTTAACATGGGATGGGGATTGAATGAGACAACATCAGGAAAGCTCCTATGCTGCTGTGAGCCCCCCCCCCTTTTTAAATTTTTTAATTTTTTCCCATACAAAAATTTATACATACATTGTTATGTGACCCTAATTGCTCTCCCCATACTGTGACAGCACAGTCCTCCTTCCTACCCCTGATTCCCCATGTCCATTCAACCAGCTTCTAACCCTCTCTGCCTTCCCATTTCACCTCGACAGAAGCTGCCCATTTAGTCTCTTGTATCTACTTGAGCTAAGAGGCACACTCCTCATGAGTATCACTTTATGCCCCACAGTCCAGTCCAATCCCTGTCAGAAGAATTGGCCTCGGAAATTGTTTTAGTTCTGGGCTGATAGAGAATTCGGGGCCATGCTTTCCAGGGTTCCTCCAGTCTCAGACCATTAAGTCTGGTCTTCCTCCTAGAATTTGAGTTATGCACCCCATCTTTCTCCTGCTCTATCAGGGACTCTCTGTTGTGTTCCCTGTCAGGGTGGTCATTGGTGGTAGCCAGG